ACCTCCTTTCATACAGCAAACAACAAATATATCAGCAATTCTACAATTAACTAGGGGGTGTCCAATCTGAAGCCAAGCGGCAGTAGATTGAAAAGCACAGTCTAGTTACCCAAAAGGTAAATTGAATCATATAAACTTCAACTCAAAAGTGAAAGAGCTGCTATGAATAGTTATGGCTTACCATTTGTAGCCCCCAGCTTCAAACACTTCCGTTTCATATTTTTTCTCATCACTTTGTGAGACAAGTCGAGAGAGTCAAGAGAAAGATTCTATCTTTAACATATAGTGTGACGGTCGATTGTCTCTTACTGTTGTAGTGGTGGTAGACAGAGGTCATGAGGTATCAGAGAGGTATGTGGGTTGACAGAGGTCATGAGATGAAGCATGTTGCCAGTCCGAAGTCGTGCACTCCATAGCTGCCCGAGATGCGCAATCTCTGACATCCGGAGTGGCCCTCGACATCCAGCTACCTCGATTCAATGGAAGGACGACGAGCTCAGTCGGATTCAAGCTCGTCCCCTCTGCTCTTGCTCCGCAGTAGTTCTGTACACATGCAAACCCCTCACGAGAAGTACCTGCGATGTTCGACACGCGTCACTCGGATTTCTCGGAAGGATCAACACGTGGACATCCCCTAAAGGCCTATAAATACCCCCCAGGGTCCACCTCTAAAAGGTATTGGAAACCAACCTCAAACTCAGCTTTTACTCCCACTCCATAACTGGTAGGTCTGATTATTGCTAACTTAAGTATCGGAGTGTTTATCCCGAGAACCAACCTCGGGGCCTTGCAGGATACCCGAAATGAAGACTTGAGATCCGGAGTACCTCCCAGTTTTCTGCAACTACAACTGTTACTACAAATTCTGTGGACACGAACACAACATAAGAAGAAAAAGGGAACTTGTGTAAAATGCAAATTAATGTCACTTAAACTCCATCATTCTGACAGGAAAAAATTCCTAAATGGTATAGAACTTGGCTTCAATGCAATATTAAAGAACTCCCATCTAGAGTTCATTATCAGAAAAAATTAAATCATGGATAGTATTCAAACCACCATTTACTTTTAAACCTTTTTGGAGACCCAAAAATAGACATTCAAGCAAATGCAATTGAATACCAAACAAAAGAAAGATCACACCACAGGCTAAAGGAGTAATGGACCGTCCTGGCACCTAGGATGGGTGTTCTATCTCCCCAAACCCAGAAACCCTTACTTCTCTTAATTAGTACAAAAATGATAATAATAAATAATAATATCAATAATAATAGTAAGAAACAAATTTTAGAGGGGTGCTGCTGCTGCTGCTTTTACGTATAGCTGACCTTGGTTTTCCGTTGGTATTTCCACATGGCTTCCACATTCTTCCCCTACACTTTTCGCACTTTTCGCTCCTCTGTTCATGGTGATGAATGAAACGGCAAAGGTTTTGTGAGTCTTGTGATCTGTATGTCAATACGTAGCCTTAGTAGGGCAAGAATTAAGCCCTCAAACTAGGTTAGG